TAAATTTCCCTGGTAATGATACATGATCAGAATACTAGACATCCTTCAGAGCAAATGTATAGACAAATTGAAAAAAAGGCTAATTATTTTTTCATTTTTAATTTAAAAAATTGTTGACCCTCCATGATAAAAAAAATTCACCAGCGTCAATAAAGTTTCTTACATCAACCTCCGCAATTATTTTTGACCGAGATGCTGGCACCGAAACTGGAATTTTAGCTGGTGGGCGATCCCCTACAAGTTAAGAGCACTAATTGGTGAATTCAGAATAAGTAGCTGACAGCCGCTATTTCATGTACCATGATCTAAACACAAACAATAATGATAGAATGGAGTATATAGTTAGGTTTCTTCCTTTGTTTGGTAGAGGATAAAGCTTTGTGCATACATAGGTACATATACACATCTGCATCTATATTTATGCATGCATATAAATGTATGTGCCTGTGTGTATTATACGTATATGTGTGTATGGAAAGGGAGGTTATGTGTATGTGTGCATGGAGAGGAAGAAGGAGATGGTCAGCTCTATCTTTCTACCTTCAGCACCAACTGGCCAGGATGGAGCTTTTGTGGGGGCATCCAAACGCATCAACATGGCAGGGTCCACCTTCATAACAGAAATTGAGAACCCTGTCAAAATTATATGATTCAGTCAGTAATATCAGTAAAGGGAACATGTAAATAGAGTTTGCATGAAATTACCTGCCATGTCAAGGGACGTCATAAAGGATCCAGTATAAACTCTATCAACTGCAAGCCCATGTTCCAGTTGTAACTGTGGAACCGCCTTTCCTGCTGCAATCATTAGCTCCATTAATGGAGTGGCACCCAGGCTGCATGTCATCAAATCAAATAATTTTATAACAGGAATACAATTTAAAAAGGCGGGCTTGGGAAAAGGAAATTCAATTCATGCAAAAGCCATTACATAGTCCGCGAGATACACACAAGCCAAAAGTCCAAGTTATCCATAAAATATTTGAAGATAAAGACTTAAGAAGCACATGAGAAATCATGACATGTTAAGATATTAAACTGCTTAGTAATGTCTCTTATTGTGCATAAAAGCAAGTTAATTGGATTGATCTATGTAGGGCAGAACTCTGGTTCCAGGAAGCAGTCTATAGAGCACCCCTTTGTCACCTTAATGCTAGCGGTAATAATGCAAGTAACTCATGTTGTGCAAAGTCTATATGACTTTGAATTTCTATCCCAATATCACGTCACTTCTGCAGCATTACACTAAAAACTACTATACATGATAAAATATTGACTCCTGCCTTCCTACTGACACTGTAATCCAAGATGAAGAAGTCATGACAGTCAGGTTTTAGATACGAACAACTCAAAGAAAAATTTGCTAATATTCGATATAGAAGGTCCAAGATATGAAACATGCAGGACTTCAGGCTTATAAATTAAAAGAAAAAGTAATGACGGGGGCGGATCCAGGAGTTTTGTTCAGGTTAGGCATTAACATCAAACATAATTTTAAAATTAGAGTATTTCATTTTATAGAAAAAATAAAGTATTAGTTTTAATACAAGCACAAATATGTAAATCAAAATTTTCATACCCAAAATAGAAGTGTATTGGACACAACTACTATAGGTATATTTTAATTTAATATATGATATAATTGAAGCGAACACTGCTTGGGTGTGGCACAAAGAAAAATAAATGACTGTGTAGTGGCACGCCATTGTAAATATATGTTAATTTATAAAGACCTAAGCTTCATGTGAGTGTAACTTTCTCCAAAGTGCACTTGCCCAACCTGAACGAGGTGTGGATCCGCTGCTGAGTAATGACAAAAAGTATATAATAAACAACTCAGAAGTTCCCCAAAGTTCTCTGAAACATGCTTCAAAACCATTTATGTTCCAACTTTTAATAATTTGGAAAGAGACAATAACGAAAACACTCTTCATCAAAAACTTATGGTTCTTTCTTGAGGAGATCTTCTTCCTTCATCTCCATTAAGAACCATCCCCCGAATGAAATTGACATAGCATCTTTAATGGACACTCATAAAGGTCTATCCTTAGTCCTTTTTCTTCCATCACAATTGTAATGTTTTGTTTCTCCAAAACGTCAAACCGAATAGTCTCTCAATAGATTCTTCCTCATTTCATTGTTATCGTTAACTGCCTATTATGAAAATACAGAAGGTCACAATTCACAAAACAAAAGCTTAGAATGAAAACCATGCGTTCAAGATATAACAACCAAAAGCATCCTGTTCTGTTATTCAAGTTCTATGTCCAACTTTCTTCGTTACGATCCCCACTTCCCATATATTGTCTACTGTGATATGTAGGATGCTTCTCTTACTAAAAAATAATATGTAGAACACCTGTTTATATTGACGATATCATCTTTAATGGACACTCATAAAGATCTATACTTAGTCTATATTGCTCCATCACAACTGTAGTCCTTTTGTTTCCCCTGAACGCCACATCGAATTATGTAATAATTCAAAGTATATATATATATATATGGAAAAGTAAAGGGACTTTTATGTAAAATTTGTTAGAGGGTCTATTAGTAAAAAGGGAGCACTTATAAATAGTAAAAAAAAAAACCTACCTCCGTCAGCCTATTTTCTCCTTCTTCCGCATCTCTGTTCCGCCGTTCCAAAAAAAAAAAAAAAAATCCCGTCTTTGTTTCGCAGCAAAAAAAAAGAGGGTCCTTTGTCTTTCGAGTTGGGATCAATAACATTTTCTAGGTATTTTTCTTCCTCACTTAGAAACTTATGGGCACATCTAAATTTTTTAGGCCATGGCCATGGTGGAACCAAGCTTTGGTTCTTGCCTCTTGTGTTCGTCTCCATATGCTTACCTTATTATTATTTTTATACAAGGCCACTTAACTTTTTATCACGTGACCTTGGGTTCATTTTAAAATAATAATAACAAAAAATTGGTTATGTATACAAAGCACCAACATGAGGCCTAAATCTTTGACCTCACTTCCTCAACCTCAACTGTTAGATTTATTATAAATTATGCTGACACTCTTCTTTAACCGGTATTATAAAATAAATATTAATCATGCATTTAAATTCCTTGGTTGACGGTATTATAAAATAAATATTAATCATGCATTTAAATTCCTTGGTTGAAGGCATTTTGATGTGTAATTGTTTAGATAGAAGAGTAAAGAAGATAAAGGGATTTAAATTCCTTGGTTGAAGGCATTTTGATGTGTAATTGTTTAGATAGAAGAGTAAAGAAGATAAAGGGCATAGTTATAATTTTGTAGGCTATGAGTTAAGGGCATATAATAGTATTGATTATTGTTTATACTTATTCTTTAGGTGTTTCGAGTGGCTTCGAGGAGGTGTTGTGAGGGGTAGTTGGATTATTTTCGGACTTGAGGTAAGTGGTGAATTTATGCATTGTGAGCTGTGTTTTTTTTATATAATTATATCAAGTATACTTGGATTTGTTCCTGACGGATTATATCCTTCGTATGATTACTGGTATATCATTTGTTGATTGGGTTGATTTTGTGATGCTCATGGATATTTTGGTATAAGCCTATGCTTATTTTCTTTATCAATTGTTATGTCTTTTCATATAGTGGTAGGTTGAGATGCATATGTGTTTGATTTATTTCACTATTGGTTGGCCTTTGGTATTTTTGTATAATGTGATTAGCTTTACGAACTTTGTTTGTTGTTAAAGCATATGCATCTCAAGTCAATATACCGGTATATGTCGGATATAAGCAAGTTATTAAAACAAGGCTCAATGTGCCTCTATGAGGTTTCTATTTTAGCGCTAAGAGCCCAAGTTTGGGTCTCACCGTCCCTACCATGGGCTTTATAATAGTGGGGTTTGCCAAGTCAACCGGAGTATCGAAGTGTTGACCATTTTGAGACGTGACCTGCTTATTTTCATTGCATGTATTTATTTTAAAAGTGTTGCCTTATAGATTTTACTATTTTAGTATTTCGCTTATCAAGTCAATTTATATTAGTTTTGCAAAACTAGTGTTTAATGTATAAATTTATCCACTTATTGAGTTGTGAACTCATTGTGTTGTTTTCATTCTTTTCAGAGACTCGGGATTAGGTGGAAATGAGGATTTGCCAAATTCTTAGAACGAAGCAAAGAATATAATTCGAGATTGTTATTGTCTTCTAGGCGAAGGTTAAATAAAGTCTTTAATGTTTAGTTGATGAATTGAGAGTTTTATAATAATGAGAATTCTTTCTTTAGGTTGAGATTTATTTGGAGTTGAGGAATATTTATTTTTATCAAGTTAATTGGCTTAGTTTGACTTTTGGGATTATAGAGAATATTTATTGTTGGTTTTAGTTCAATGAAAAGATTTGTTTTAGTGGTCTTTCAATGAATGTATATTTTGGAGGACTTTTCACAGGTTTAGTCCGGCTCTAATATTCCTTTTAGATTCGGAAATTGGGGTCGTGACAGAATGGTCTCTCAACAGATTCTTCTTCATTTTATTGCCAACATTAACTACCTATTCTAAAAATACAAAAGGGCACAAATGAAAAGCTTTAGAATGAAACCTTGTGTTAGAGATATGACAACTAAAAGCATCCTGTGATTCCAGATTTATGTCTCAGAGGTCCAACTTTCTTTTCCAAGATCCCCATTTCCCATTTACTGTCTATTGTGACTTGTGAGATACTTCTCCCACTAAAAACAATGTGTAGAATACCTGTTTGGACCACTACAGCAGAGCCTTCAATAATTGCAATAATGTGGACAGTTATGTAGTATATCATGTTTCCTCGAAACAAGATTCATGATACCAATTGCTTTGGTTTAATTTTATGCAATAAGGTTTTCTATATACGAAAACACATCAAACTCACAAGCTTATATTTACACATTTATGTCATTGTCAATAACGTTGATGACTTCCAGTCTAGAATTGGTCTTGAAAAATGAAATACGCTAATAAATATAAGATCATGTATCTGAACAATTAAAAGAAACTCAAAGATGTTCTTCAAAAGATGATGTAAAAGAAAAGAGAGAATGCAAGCAGCCTTAGAAACAAAGGCTGCAGAATTTATGATATTAGGCTGCATTTGAACTGACAGAAGACTATGAATTTATCATGCAGTTGGTCACAAAGGAAATAGAGAAAGATGGGTTGTACATCTTAGGTTGTGATGCATTTGGTCCGGGCTGAGAGCCCAAATTTGAGAGGCAAATTCAACTATAATAAAACTCTGACAATTGTTGGCTTTTCAGAATGCAAAAATTTGATTCTTGCATACAAGAAAATTCAAATTCAACACTGAATTTGACACAATGCATTGCGAATAAAATAAAAATGAGAAAAGGTTAGTTAAAGGTGCAGTACCCATTAATCATCAGAACAACTCTACTTCCCCTGTTGATTGGAACATATTGGTTAGTTAAAGGTGCAGTACCCATTAATCATCAGAACAACTCTACTTCCCCTGTTGATTGGAACATATTGAGTTTCCTGTGAGCAGTTGAAAAAATTACATCAGAACAACTCTACTTCCCCTGTTGATTGGAACATATTGAGTTTCCTGTGAGCAGTTGAAAAAATTACGATCTCAAATGTACTTACAACTAACCGTGGGTTGCATGACATGTATCTTTCAACTAGCAATCAAAAATTTTCTGAGAAGAGGAGTATTCAGCATAAATTTTAGAGTGAAAACATATCAATTGAGGACACACCGTAGACAATATTTGCTTGAGAACATGAGAGACCACTATATCAACAGGCGGAACTTCAGAGATAGCTGCACCAGGCTCCCCATGCTAGAAACAATGAACATCAATACAAGGTTTCCATGGAAGAAATAAGACACAGTATGTTAAATTTTGAAGCAAAAATAATAGAGCTAGATGCTATACCAATTGGATACAATTAGATCCAACCATGTGAACTATGAAAATAAATATGACAGCTAAGTTGCGGTTCATGTAATAATTTTTTTTGCAAATAACTCACAATTCCAAGACCAAGCTCCATCGCTTGTGGGCCTAAACGATCTGATGGAATCTCCCCAGGAAGCGTACAAACTGACAAGGCTACACCCATTGTTCCCACCCATTCAGATGCATGTTTTGCTTCTGCAGCAACTTCAGCTAGAGACAAACCAGAAGCAGCAGCTGATCCAGCAACCTATCAAATACAAAAGAAAAAGTAACTAACTGTCATATAAACATTGTACCCATGAGACATAATTCACTCTAAAATTAATGTATCAACAAAGTATCGAGATACAATTCTCAGCAAAAATCTTGATTAGGAAATTAATGCTTTCACAAAAGATGCCCAGCAACATAATTTGGAATAAACTTACTCTGTAGTGCTTCATTTTTAGCATTCATACAGTAATATTCAGCGATTCTGTACACCCATGGTTTTAAAATAGAAATAACTTGAAGGGGAAAAAAGCAATATACCATTTAGTGGATTATATCCTATCCCCAACCTCCAAATGAAAATAATAATTGGTTATTGAGAAAGTTCTGCCCTGATCCTTAGATGTATTCTCATGTGCACTATCTAGACAAGTACCTTAGTTCTCTCATTAGTCAAGTACCTTAGTTCTCTCATTAGTCCTCATTACTCTATGATACAGGGGTACAATTCTAGGTGAAGGAAAGAATTTTCTCAGAGAAGAAGGAAAACAAAGTTTATAAGAGTGATTGAAATAATAGAAGTGGGAAAAAAGGTTACAGTATTGTGATAAAGAGAAATTTCAAGGAAATCAGGGCTTGAACCATAAAGGTAATACACATCGGCATACCCACCAAAAAAAAGAAGAAAAACAAGAACTCTCCACTAAGATTAAAGGAACTCTCCACTAAGATTAAAGGTTAAACTTCAACAAGGAAAACTTGAAAGAAATGCATAAGCAGATAGCGACTAAGCCATTTGCATGTTTGGGGCTTGCTTTACCAGTATGACTAGTCCTCAAAAGCTAAAAGCAGACAAGGACTTTCATTAAAGTGAACAGATCAATTTAACTAATTGGCAAGCGTCATTTGATGAAATGCACCAGGAGCTTCATTTAAAGTAACAGATCAAAACAATAAATAGATTGCAATCATATGCACTGAAACATCCTCTTAATCGCCATTTGGCATGGCTTATATACCCAACATAAGATAAGTCCTCTGTAATAATAGGTGCATGCTTGTGGTTTCTTTACTTTATGCGAGGAGAAAATCCTAAGATATAACAAAAGGTACAGTTTGTCCTCCCTCGCTCCTACCCACCCCTTCTGCATGTCCTTTTACCTGAATAAAAATCTCTCTGTTCCTGATTCATTCTCATCAAAATCCCTCCCATAAGTAAAATAGAAATAATTCTCATCCAACTCGATCCATCTTTTTGTTTGAAAATTCCTTATCCAAATCTTCTCAAATCCGTTCTAAAATTTCTGGCTGCTATTATAAAAAAGGCATTTTAATGAGAATCTATCCTTCAAAACTATTGAAAGCCTAAAAAACAAATAAATCATTCAAGATGACTCCATTTAAGTACTTAAAGGAGGCTCTATTATTGCAATGGCCAAGAACAAAGCAAGAAACAACCATTAGTCTCACACAAAATCATAGCCTTTGCTGCAAATTTAAACCAGACACGGTACATTCAATGCGTAAAAATCTATGACCTTGACTATGACTTGATACATCGAGCTTCGCTTCCATTGTTGTGCTGCGAAACATAGTAGCTAGTTCAATTTCAAGATCTCATATCAACCTCACCAAGTGCTTTACAGATATTAAATGTTTTCATCTAATT